TTGCCGCCCATCATTGTCCCACAGAGGTTATATTTTCAGTCAAACCTCCCAGAGGAGGAAATATGGATTGCTAAGATGCTGTACATCAAATGTTCAAACCTCAGTCTTTTTACTCTCTGAGAATGGCCAGGTTTCGATCTGTTGTTCTGATTGCCAGTAAATCTAAAGATCTTTTTAAGTTCTGCTGCTAGAGAAAATGCCCTTGGAGAAAATGGCTTGACGTTTTTATAGCACTTTCGAGTCCTTCAATTCAGTTTCTCGTCCATTTCTGTCCATCTTAATCCAAATCTTAAATGTTTTGACAGCATCAATCATTCATAAATCAATGACTGATTTAACTTTACTTTTAAAACTTTGTTTCTGAATACTTTTAAAGCCCCATGTGGTGAAAATCAAGCTTTTAATGTTGTTTATATGTGGTGTTTTTAATATGCTTTAAGAAAACCATGTACAAATTCATGTCAACACTATTGCTGAGTATTTTCTCCCTAAAACTGCAGTGAACCAAAGACAGTCACAAAAACGCGGTTTGAAATCGCTGGTGTTTTCTGACGTCACAAACTACCTTGTAACCAATCAGGTCAACGTGTGATTGTCAACGAGAGGATCTCTGAGCTGTTGCGAGTGACTGGAGGCGGGGCTCATTTGCATATTCATAGAACCGCATATACTAAATGAGGCAAGGGTGTAAAGTTACATCCAAGCTATGAAGACATTATTTTCAAGGGGAAAAAAAACATTTAAATATGTATTTTTTTGTGATCAAGGATGAATTTTAAGGGATACAATTATTGACTACAGGGGGATTTTAAGTTTTCTCCTTAATTTCACAAATTTTGTCTGGTGATTAAACAGCCAAGAAAATGTGCATAGAGTTATCAGTGTACCATGGAAACTTGAGCTCTTTTGACTTTGGGTTAGTAAGAAACTACTCACAAGACTAGCATGCAGCATGTTTTTGCTGCAAATGACATAGCTGGGGGATCATATGTTATCAGGGGGTGATGTTGCGGGGCGGTGACACAGTGGGGGATTTTAAACAAAATTCTAATATTAAACATCCCAAAGAATGAATGAACATACAACTGAATGAGGACATAGAACATAGTGTGTCATCTTAGGGTTAGTTCACCTAAAATGTACTCATCCTCATTTCGTTCCAAACCCGTAAGACTTTCGTTCATCACAACATAAATGAAGTTATTTTTAATGAAATCTGAGAGATTTCTGTCCTTCCATTGACAGTCCACACAACTACCACTTTGACGCTTCAAAAAGTAAAGAGATCGTAAAAATAATCCATATGAATTGAGTGGTTAAGTCCAAATTTTCTGAAGAGACACGATCGCTTTATATGAGGAACAGATTTAATTCAGGGTTTTATTCACATATCAACATTCATCAACGCACACTTTATTTATGGTAAACAGAAGCTGAAGCATGCTTGCTTGACGTGCAAGAACCAATGAGGTTCATTTCATTCTTGTGTTACACAGCACATTTGAGCTTCTGCAAGAACCAATGAGGTTCATTCTCGTGTTACGCTGCACGTTTGAGCTTCAGCAAGAACCAATGAGGTTCATTCTCGTGTTATACGCAGCACATTTGAGCTTCTGCAAGAACCAATGAGGTTCATTCTCGTGTTATACGCAGCACATTTGAGCTTCTGCAAGAACCAATGAGGTTTGTTCTCACGAGTCAAGCATGTATGGTTGAATTTCTGTTCCCTGATCAATGTTTATATGTGAATAAAAGTCTAAGTTAAATCTGTAATAAAGCAATTGTGTGTCTTCAGGAAAATCCTGACTAAACCGCTCAATTCATAAGAAAACGTTTTACGATAAGGTAAAACATTTAAAAAAGGTGTGCCTTATGTAACGGTACATCCCCAGTGACAGCTTTTATACCGTTTTTTATAGAAAATGTTAAAGTCTAGTTTACTTTTAAAATGTTTTCTGCAATTTCCGAATTGTGCTTCCCTTTAATATCTGACTATTTCCTCTCATAAGACAAATGGATGAGCGAAATATCCCCAGTAGTGTATTTTGTGGGCCTAAAAGCCAATGACATCGTGATAGCTGCTAAAGAACATTTGTCTCAGTCAGAGATTCCTCACTGGAGACCGATGAAGTCATTAGTCACTGCAGTACTTAGTCCATTTAGCTTTTAGCGAAAATGGAAAAAAAAAAACCCTTGAAGATGTGGTATATTGGTTAAGGCCCAGGGCTGGTACTCAGAAGATTGCTGGTTCAATCTCCACTGTGCAAAACACGTCACCTCAGGTTGCTCCAGGGGGATTCACTCTGTAATAAATGCTGTGACACTTGCTTTGGACAAAAGTGTCTGCTAAATGTCCTTGTATGTGTGAAACATGTAATTGACCACGCTCGAATAGCTTTAGGTTCCAAAGTACTGAATTGTAGCACATTTATCCAAGCTCTGTTCATCTGCTTTTATTCCCCCTCCAGATTTATAGTGGATAAATTCGACTCTAAGATAGATTTCACACACATAATGACCAGAGGAAAGTGCTTGGGTGATGGCCTGCAGTTTTGTGGTAGGAAGATGTGGTCCAGTTAATCAGGACAATGAAAGCCTCAGCAAATGCCTGATGTCAGCATACTGTAGAAAGATGTTCAGAAATTTAAGTCAAACTAAAGATCACATGCAAGTTAGTGTTTTTTTTTCAAATGTTTTGCAAACTTAAATGCATGTGTATGTTCTAAACCCAGATGATTGTTTTATTGCTCAGAAGTTGCTCTTTCATAGCTTAGGAGTTCTCAGTTATGTTTACATAAAACATCAAGCTGTATTTTTTTCTATGTACATTTCTGAAATGCACTTTCTGTAAAGCTGCTTTGAAACAATATGTATTGTGAAAAGCGCTATACAAATAAATTTGAATTGAATTGAATTGAAGTAAGCACAGTTTAAGAACTCCCTGAAACGCCTCGATTGAGTTTTCTTCCAGGAACAAAGGGCATAAAATATATGTTTTTTTCTGTGTTTTTTTTTTAGGATTGTTTTGTATGTAATATTCTGTTGTTTCAAGAGAACATTAGACCTATATTGTTATCTAAACTAAATTTATATGCGGTAACGGTTCTCATTCCGGAAAGCCTGCAGGAATGGTGGGAAATCAAATTCTGGTGCATGTTCCATTATCACAGACCAAGGTTATCCTGATCTTTTCCATGAGACCACAATTGCCTAGGGAAAAAAACAATTGTTTGATGTGCGCCAGATGACTTGGAACTCGTGTTGAGATCTTAGAGAAATAACGGGTTGATATGACAGTGAAAAAAATTGACCAGACATGTTTGCATGCATTTTAAATTCTGAAACCACCTCTCTGGGTCATGTTCTTTATTAACACGGGCTATAGTTCATTCATGTCCATCAAACACAACCCTGATGGAAGCAACACAATGTATGTGGAAATTGCGTATGCTGTATATATTAATTTCTTGCATTTTATACCCAAGCTGTTTTGCATTGTGTGGGTTTCTTTTTATAGAAAGGTATTCAACATTGACATCATGTGATTATTTTTTTCTCTGAACGTTTAAAAGAGATGACGCAAAAGCGACCAACCCTTTCAGTCGTGACGGGATGGTATTTGCTGGGCTTTTCCATTTAGTGCCAAATTAGGTCGGTTGGGAAAAAAGGTCAGTACCAGGAGAAAAATGAAAGCTCTTTTGTAAGGTTCACTTGATTGCCCTGTTCCAGGCCAGTACTCTTCAAGAAAGACACTTTTTGGGTTTATGTGTGTGAGAAGTTTTGTATACATCCTTTGTTTTTTTGTTTTTAATCTGCAAGGAATTGCTCTTTTATGGTAAAAAAATTACCTCTAACATTTATCCCTCTACTCCTCCCCTCAGGGTCCTTAAGTGGAACCAGTGGGGCCAGATTCATGTAAATCTACTTTCAGAAGAAATTTAAGATAAATTCTGAGAGAATCAAGGAAAACATCTTGGAGCGCTGAAGGACCTTTGTTCAGTAATCAAGGTGCTCTTTGGTTGGGTTTCAAAACAAGATCCAAGGCACTTCTGGTTCAAAATCTTTAAAAAGCCTTTATTCAAACCATGACTTATCTAGACACATTAAAAAAAGAATTTACTGTGACATTTTAAGAATAATGAACAATCTCAAGAAAAAAAGAGCATTCTTAAAGAAGAACTTTGGGAATACAATCATTTTTATTCTTATAAGAATGTTTTGTGAATCTGGTCTCATATTCCAGACCGGTCAGATCTAAGACTCTTTGGGAAACGCTCATTTAATTGGAAATATTGGACGGTCATTGATCCAGTTCATGAATAACTAAAATGCTGTTAAAATCTGCTTTTCATTTGATTTCTGTCACCTTAGATGAGGTTGGAAATCAAGCACCGAGACCTAAATTACAATGAGTAGCTTAAATTAGATGCTTTTAATTTAACATTTAACACTATATTTTTGACAGGTCCATGGCGCCCTGTCCATTTACTTGCTCAGCGTAGTGTCTCAAAACCTTGTGAACTGTCTACAGCGTCGTGTCCAACACAAAAGTAGTGTGCTGCCTTCCTAAGAATATGGTTATCAACTATAAAATATGATGCGTAAACATACTGTACGCGGTCATTATGCTTATAAATGTTTCATGCATGACGCCACAAAAACCGTGAGACACACACAATGACGCTTCATTATTTAAGGTGCGCAGCAGAGAGTCTCGCGCACTGAGCGCTATAAATACAGCAGCGCGCGCGCGGGTTACGCCACACATCGCGCGGTTCTCTGCGTGTTTTAATCGACTTTATATTCACTTACATCGGACTTTTCTCAGACTATAGATTCTACAGTACTATTAATATCACTGAATATGTGTATTAAGATTACAAAGACACTTTTATTCGTACGGGAATAAGTTTTTTTCCCCTCAGGAATAAGTATTAAGACTCTCCAGACTAAATGGATGATGGGAGCTTGATATCGCCTTTCGATTCTCAAGGACTGTTTCAAGGACTGTTTGTTTAATTTTTCCGCCTGTGTTGTTAAATGTTATAAGATGTTCAGGTGGAGTGATGCTGCTTTGGATATTCTGAAAGGTGTCTCAAATGGTAAATATTTCTCTCCTTTTTCTCCTTTTAAATCGAAATAAGCATAGAGACAAGCATTGATTCTTCCTTAATGCTATATAAAATATTAAAATAGCATAAAAAGAACTCAAAGCTAAAATGTACTTATGACTGGTACTGTGTTCTGAACCATTGCAATGCAATTGCATGTAGGCTATTGTATTTTGTATGTATGTTTGTGTGTTTGTGTATTAATCTACCTGGTCTGACCCATTTAAATACTTTGGTGTCATGTAATCAGTTTAATTTAGACATTAAATAATAATTTTGATTAAAAAAAACTATTTGAAGCACATTTTTACTTTGCCTGACCATTTTTTTTTACAGTGTTAAACATGACTTATATGTTGATATCACTGTATCTCCAAACAGTTGTTTAGTTGTCGTTACTAGAAATTATAGTGGTAAATGGTCAGAAGTGTTGAAATTTGTACTGCACTTTTTTTCTTTTTTCTTTCTCATGTACCCTAAAGAGGAAATTGTGAAAAACAATGTTCCTATTCACTAAAGTTTTCTAAAAGGTGTGTCAGTGTATAATTTCAGACCTCTGGACATAACTTCCCTCAATTAATGTGTGTAAATAAGATAAAACAAACAAAAAAACAGCATAAACAGGAAGGCAATCACTTGCTTGTTAAATGATTAAATTGTTCCAAATAGCTGAGCTTTGTGGCCAAAATCAACAGTACATCACTATTTTTACATCTTTGTTTGCTGCTTGTCTGCTAATGAAACTAATGGTTATACTTTATTTGGTAACACGTTATTTGACAGTGTCCTTGTTACATATGTTACATGTACTTGCCATAACAGTAAATTATGCATAATTACATGCCAAGTTAACCATAAACCAGAACCTTATCCTGCCCTAACCCAATAGTAAGTACATGTTGGAAATTATTATTACTCAGTAGTATACTTAAATATAATTACACTGTAACAATGACACCTTAAAATAAAGTGTAACCCTATATAGAGTTATGCTTAGGGTTTGGTTTAGGGTTAGTTACTTGTAATTCTGCATAATTTACTGTTATTTCTATAGTAACATGTAGTAACATACATCAACCTAAAATAAAGTGTGACCAAGCTTGTTTGCATCATATAATCTCAGCTTTCCACTTCTTTCCTCTTTTCTCTTTAGCTATGTGTCTCTAAGGTCAGTGGTGCTCGTCCCATATCTGGAGATGTTGGCCATCAAACACTGCAACAGTTCAGACGTTGTGGATGTAGCGTTCAGCAATCAGACCCACCAGATGTTTGTGGTGGAACCGCTGCGCTGCAAGGAAAACCTGAACTCCACAACCAGCCCCACGGCGGCGGGCCTGTCCATGACACTGGGCATCGTGTCCAACATCATAGCTCTGGTCATCCTGGCTAAAGCGTACGCTCGCCTGCGGAAGCGCTCAAAAGCCACGTTCCTGCTGTTTGCCAGTTGTCTGGTGGCAACGGACCTTGCCGGTCATGTCATTCCAGGTGCCCTGGTTCTGCGCCTCTACACTGCCGGGGAAATTTGTAACCATCCTGATGCCACCTGCCATTTCTTGGGCGGCAGCATGGTGTTCTTCGGCCTGTGCCCGCTGTTTCTCGGGTGTGGCATGGCGGCCGAGCGGTGCATGGGTGTGACGCGGCCTCTCCTGCATGCCCGCGTGGTTTGCACTGCACGCACTAAGGTGGTGCTGGTGATGATATGGTTTTTGGCTTTAACAGTAGCACTGCTGCCCTTCTTTCGGCTGGGCTCATATACCTACCAGTACCCACAGACCTGGTGCTTCATTAAAGTGTTAGGCAATAAATGCATCGCAGACGAAACACCCCCGACCCTCACAGACGTGGTGTTTGTGCTGCTCTTTTCTGGACTGGGACTGGCCTCGCTGGCCGTGGCACTGGTTTGCAACACTATCAGCGTGATGACGCTGGTCATCGCCCGTCTCCGCAGGAAGAAATCAGCTAAAGATCAGCGCAGATCAGCTAAATCGCATGACATTGAGATGGTGGCACAGCTGGTGGGCATTATGGTCACTTCTTGCATCTGCTGGAGCCCTCTGCTGGTGAGTGTGACCATTACAACTTATCAGGGCAGAGCAAAGAGTTATGAATTATTGTACTGTTTTTACTGTACTTTATTTTATTTTCTATTCTAAACTGTTTTAATTATTCTTTTTTTTTTTTTTATTCTTTTTTTTTCCTATGTAAAGCACTTTGAATTACCATTGTGTATGAAATGTGCTATATAAATAAACTTGCCTTACACAAGTAACAGAATATATTTATCTATTGATCTATCTATCTATCTATCTATCTATCTATCTATCTATCTATCTATCTATCTATCTATCTATCTATCTATCTATCTATCTATCTATCTATCTATCTATCTATCTGTCTGTCTGTCTGTCTATCTATCTATCTATCTATCTGTCTGTCTGTCTGTCTGTCTGTCTGTCTGTCTGTCTGTCTGTCTGTCTGTCTGTCTGTCTGTCTGTCTGTCTGTCTGTCTGTCTGTCTGTCTGTCTGTCTGTCTGTCTGTCTGTCTCTGAGCAATACAGTTGTCCTCCAGGATGTTTGATCTGGATTCTTCTTTTGCTGTCACAGCATGATTGCTTCGTCTACAACTAACTTCCTCTGTTATTCTGACAGATCTTCGGTCTGATGTCAGTCATCCGCTCGTACAGAGGCTCTATGGGGAACGATCTGGAAACCTACAGGACTTTAATGGTAATGGGAGTGCGCCTGGCCTCCTGGAACCAGATTCTGGACCCTTGGGTTTATATTCTTCTACGCCGGGCCGTCCTCAGAAAGATCTACCGCTTAACCACCGGCCGCAGTGACCTTAGGGGGAGCACATTCCGGCGGTGGGAGATCAGCTCCTTCCAGAACTCAGTGAAGAATGCAATTAATCTGAACTGATGAAGAGATTCCAGAAGAGTGTGAGTTCTTCCACATGGAAAAAATTGGAAATGTTTGAACCAAATCGCTGCAGTATAACTGAAAGCAGATGTAAGATCCTACTGTATTGCTTGAATGGTGGATGAAGGAGCAGCTTACTGGAAGTTGTAAAGCGAGGCTCTGGAATAACCACAGACACTTCAATAAGCTTTGTAATTGAGCACAGTGGGGTTCTGGAAGTCAAAATCCCATTAATTTTCTCCATAAGGAGATAGCAACAATATATAAATCTTTCAAGCCAGTGGTTGTTAAGTGATAATGTGCGCTTCTGTCTGTGCGATTTCAATAAAAAAAAGCACATTTAATTGCCAAATTTGTGGTTTTCATGCACAATTCATCATCAATGACTCATTGCCAATCATAATACCATTGTGTGTTATTATTTATTATTTATTTACATCATTCACAATGCTTCATGTGATGAGTAATTAATTCCCTCATAAAATAATAGTCTTGTACACTGAAAAAAATGATACTTTGGACCAACCTAAAAAATTACTGTAATTTGTTTATTAGTCTTTCTCAAGCTATATTTTTGATTTGGTTTAAACTTTAAATTTTAATTTAATAGCAATCAAAATAGTTATTCTGCTCAACAAAAAGTTAAATGACTCTGAAGCAGTGTTAAAGTTAATGAGATAATTAATTGATTAATTGAGTGATGATTGAGCATTATTGAAGACACCTGATGTTAACAAGCAGAATCACTGAAGGAGAAAAATAATAATTTTTAAGTCACCGTTATGGTGATCAGTGTGTGTTTTGGTTGGACTCTTGACCCTTAAATCATTAACTTTTAATGTTGTTTGGCTGCTGACAGCCAGATTAACAACTAGAAAAGGTGATCTGATGGTGTTGGTTGAGTTTTGACATAATCATTATTTCACAATAATTTCACCTGAATCAACTCATATTGAGTCCCATTTAGGTTTACTTTATTAATTATAGCAGCACTGGCCTTGTTAAGCATAATATTTTTAGCCTTTTCAATGAAATCCAAAATTCAATAAAAAGAAAACTTCAAAACCACTTATGTTGGCGCACACACAGACATCAATAATTAGCGTATGAATCTCAGCAATGGTGACAAACAGATCACCTCTGAACATAAGCTCATTATTTATTCATGCAGCAATGCATGCTGGGAGCCATGAATGAGTTTTGATTGGTGGCACCCAGAATGCACTGCAACATGCTTATTATTGTCACCATTGATGAGATTCACAGGCTGATTCTTGATGTCTGTGTGTCTAAAAATGAAATAGAATCAATAAATTATTTTTTGTACATGAGACATGTTTAAAAAATATCTTTGGATTTCATTGTAAAAGGTAAAAAATATTATGCTGTACAAGGCCAGTGCTGCTATAATTAATAAAGTAAACCTAAATTGGACTCAATATGAGTTCAGTGATTCAGGTCAAATGATTGTGAAATAATGATTGTTAAAACACAACCAACACCATCAGATCACCTATTCTAGTTGTTCATCCGGCTGTTATAACTCACGTACAGCAGGCAAACAACATCTAAAGTTAATGATTTAAGGGTCAAGAGCCCAACTAAAACACAGACTGATCTCCATAACGGTGACATAAAAATTCCGGTTTTCTCCTTCAGTGATTCTGCTTGTTAACATCAGGTGTCTTCAATGATGCTCAATCATCACTCAATTAATCACTTAATTATCTCATTAATTATCTCATTAACTTTAACACCGCTTCAGTGTTACTTTAACTTTTTGTTGAGTAGAATAACTTGATTGATATTAAATTAAAATTTAAAGTTTAAACCAAATCAAAAATATAGCTTGAGAAAAACTAATTAATTTAGCTGTAACAAATTACAGTAATTTTTTTAAGTTGGTCCAAAGTATAATTTTTTTGTGTTTGTTATTTGCTTTAAGGAAAACTGAACAAAACAGGTTTAAATCAGAAACTGTGATTTTCACTTTAGGCCAATATAAAAATGCACTTTAAATGAACGACACAGTAGTTTCACTTTTTTCAGTGTACCTTTTCTTTTTTTGCTTCAGTTCAAAGTTTGTAGTGTTGATTGAAATTTCTAAAAGGCCTATGGAGAAAATAAGTGGGAAAATATAGTTCTGGAACCAAGGGTGTGAAAAAGTAGGTGGTCACTGGTCACTTTTGCAATCTGTAAAGTGAGTCTGCTAAATGAGAATGTGAAATGGACTGCAAACGTGCCCTCCTCATGTCACCTGCATTATTTTACCATTTCAAATGTTGATGTAGAATTGTTATAATCATAAAGAGTCAATTAAACTTATGAAATGTTAAATTATAAAGATGACAAATATCTATTAAAAAGAACACACTTAGCTCCCATGTAAAACAAGGGAAAAGAAATATAAAAAGGGCAAATCATGATACAGGGAATTCAGAGGACGAGCAAATAAAAGAAGTGTTGTGTAGGCCTGGGTTTTAATATGCTAGTTTGCAATTGTTACTTTCAGGACAAACAAGCACCATCTCTTGTGGTGAATCATCATAATATGATAATAGTGACTTCACCAAAATGTTTTTGAACATGATGAAGCTTTTTGTTTTTGCTTCAGAGCTATTGCACAGGATTTTGTATTGTCCATTGCACTATATTATTTCTATTTCATACAATATATAAAAGTAAAATAATGAAAAATACTGTATCACTACAGCCTAAAAGTTGAACTTTTACATGTGCATGGCAGTTTCAGTGTTCTTGTAGACCTATCTGTATATTTGTGTCTTGCCCTGTATTTGTGATCTTGAAAAGCTATGGAATAGTCTATAAAAGCTATTGAATATATTATTTTGACCAATAAAGGTTCACTTCTGAAGAGTTCTTTCTGTCTCCATGTTGCACTTCCATTTCTACTACACTGTATGTCACATAACTGATCAATAAGTTATGACAACATATGATTTCACATTGCTTTAACTCGTCAAAATAACTTTTTTTTGTAAGTTATACAAGATTCAACTCATTTTTTCAAGTCAGTTTAATGTAATTTAAGTTGAAATGACTTAAACATCCAAGTTAATTGTAGCTAGTTAAGGAAATTAATACTTTTTAGCAGATGAAAATAAAAGTGAAAATAAAGTAATTTATAATATTACAAAAGATTTGTACTTTAAATGAATGCTGTTCCTACGCACTTAACAATTTAAGGCAGGATTTCTTTTTACAGTGTAGTAATTTTCTTTTCAAAACCATTTAACAAAAAGAAAGAAAGAAAGAAAGAAAGAAAGAAAGAAAGAAAGAAAGAAAGAAAGAAAGAAAGAAAGAAAGAAAGAAAGAAAGAAAGAAAGAAAGAAAGAAAGAAAGAAAGAAAGATTTTGAAGTCTCTACTAGTCTGAATGACAAAACCACGCCCTCTCCATTCATCCGGTCTGTCGCGGATGGGATGATCTTATTGGTTCACTGAGATCACGTGTCCCTGTTCCAGCTTAGCGCACGCTGTCGCTGATTCTCTTCAGCTGCAGAATAGTGAACGGGCGCATCTTTATTGCAGCATTGGTGAGTAGATAAAAACATAAATATTCTTAAACATGACCTGTTTTTCAAATGTTTTTCCTGCAAATAACCCGATCTAATAATTCTTATTTGCCCTGAATGTGTTGGTTCAACACTTATATGCAGTGAAAATGTATAACGTTACATTTGCTCAGCAAACGGCTATGGCTAGCAGTTAGCACGCTAGCTCTTCACGAGTTTGACAAAAACAGAGACAATTGAGCATTACGTGATAATTTTGCCTTACATTTACTCCTTAATAAATAAAGTAGACTTCTGTTTTGTCTCATTGTGTACTTAAATGAGCATTCTGACCAAGTTAAATGAGTTTTTTTGGGGGTGTTTGGGGGGGAGGGTCACGACCATTTTATCTCATTCGGCGTCTCTGGCCGTGTCTCAAAACCAAATGCGTATCTTGCTTAGAAAGCATGTTTTGGCGTCAATAGCTAGATTTTCGTGCAAATCGTAATTGTACCATCAGGAATGACACCTTAAAGACCAGTGTTTTTTTTTTAAAGACGGTAGATGTTTGAGCACACCGGTCCCCATTGTTTGGCTGCACTAAAATGGCCGCACACATCTGTGATGTATACTGCGTTTTCCTTGTTTACTTCCACTGGTGTGTTCATTTTGATACAATTTCACTTTAACTTGTGCGTACATTGAATATGTAAGAGATTTTCTTTTTTTTTAATCATATTTTTACTGATCTGTTTTAGATTTAGAGTTGCGGGGTTTGTTTAGAGACACGTTATTCCAAATTAAAGTCTTCATAGCAATGAAGCAATAATATTTATTTTAAGTAGTACAGTGAAATGATCGTTTAAGTCTAATAATTACACATTTTTGTCATTCTTTTCACATCAATGCTTAGGTCATTTTTTACGCTTCATTTTAATATTTGGGGTAATCAGTCTCACTAGTGCAAAATCCAAGTTTTTTTTATTATATGCATTGGTATTTTTGTTACTTTAATATAATACAAAGGTTTTCAAAGTGGGGTCAGGGGGCCTTTAGGGAGTGCTAGGGGATCTGTGAACAATTTTTAAAGAGAGAAACCGTAAAAATCGGGCAGGAATTTTTTTTTAATCTAAATTATTTTGATTAAAACCAATAATTAAAATTATATAAATAAATAATACATAACCGCACTGTAGTGAATAAAAACATTTACCATAGTAGGAACTACATTGTTTTTTACTCAATGAAATATTTTTTCTCAGTATAAATTGAGTCTTTAACATGCAAATTTTCGGGTGGTACATTTCGGATGGTTTTATACCAATAATAATAGTCTAGTTAGAAGTTGCAGAAGTGATATGGTTCACTTGTGAATTGTGAGATCAACAAACATTTACTGACAATTCAAGGAGCTATGAGTGATAAAAACATTCTGCAAAGATAAAAAGGTGAGAATGGCACTTGTGAACAACTGATTTACTAGCACTTGTGCGACAAGCATGTAGACAATAGCAGGAAATGAGTTTGAGGTTTCAGGAAAGGCAAAAATCCCATTCTTTTGAGTTATAATGGCTTCAGGAAGGCATGTCAGTCATGTGTGTTAATTGTATATCAGTTTTCAGTCTGGTAAATAAAAAGGGGTTTCAGTTTCTGAGCTGGTTGTGCTGCATCTCTTAGACCTGGATGACATTATGGGTTGTATTGAGTCACTGTCTCCATGGAGATCTGAATAT